TTCCCTTGAATTAACAGTGTTGTTTTTTCTCTTACCTTTTTTGCGACTGTATGCGACGATAAATGTTCCTGGCGTGCAAGAAGCTGAGAATCCATCCATTAGGATATGTAAAAAGCGATTTTTGAAGAAAATTATTTTTCGAGAGTGGGTTCGAACAGTATTGAAGCTGTTGAACCTTTTGTCATTCAATTATCTATTGCTCTATTGACAAGATTACGAAGCACCTTGATTATAATTTGACCATTTTTTCATTGTCATCAGTTATTCTGATAGATCTTGATAACAAATACAAAATATCTGAAAGTACACGGTGGATTTGATCCACCAGAGGGAGGCGGTCGTCGGAAGGTGAGTAAAACAAAACCAGAAGTACACAGATATAACAGATCACTTTGTTCCCTAGGATCTTGTTGTCACTGTGAGGACTACATACAGTTCAGATGCATACGAGAGTTCTGACTGCGCTGTAAATCAATTTCTCCATTGACCGTTCATATCGGCCACAGTTTCCTACTATTTTCATGAAGAAATTTTTTTGTAATCGAGCCTCGGAAAAACAATCTGCACAAACGTTTACTTCCTGCCACATCTCATTCCCGTACGCGGCGCGGAAGGAGTGCTTTCCATTCGATCAGTCTGAACCTGTTGAGTGACAGACCTAGTTGAAATTATATGCGTGGAACTGATGACGGTTGAATTTCAGCAAATCCCTGTGTTGCCTAAACAACCGGGAACAAACACAAGCGATTTGAACTGATAGAAACCGGTACAGGTTAACGAGAAACACAGTACCACACAGCCTCAAAGGTTCCGGGAAGCATCACTGTAAAATATGCATTTAACTCACACTTAATTGTGAGTAGTGTTGCGGGATAATTGTTATGGAATGTTTGGAGCTGAGGTTTTTTTTCGGGTTTCGTTTTCACGCATATTCCTCAGCTCGGCTCCGTTTTGCCCTGGCATGAGATGTTTGGCACAGTGGTAACACGTGTACCTTCTATGCGGTGGGCTCGGGGTTCAATTCCCACAAGGGTACGATAGATATGCACTATTGATGAGCTTTAATGTGAACAAAACTCGAGTCTGGTGCTACCCAAAGTGTATGGTTGATTGTAGGGGCTGAGGAATGTGTGCGAAAGTGAAGTCTGAAAGACTGTCAGTCGCAATCAAGCAAGTAATCAATCAATTAATCAATCATGGTTTTCGTTACAAACCATTCAAATTTGAAGGTAGAACAAAAATTCGAAAATTTTGAGCTCAGACTCAGTCTAACACACACACACATACGTGTCTACAAGCAGACGGGCCACGTTCATTAGTGCGTAAAAAAACTAAGTGACAGCTGTGTAGCATCAACAAACAGATTCACCGGACCGGTGCTTGTGTGTTAGTGTGTGTGTGTGTGTATGCGTGCACGCCATGTAGGCGGTCAGTCATTTAATCAGTAAGTCTGTACGAGTTTTTGTGCTATGCCATTCTGTCAATCTCCCGAGATGTACACGCGTACTTTTCGCGCGCGAAAATTCCAGCACAAATGAGCAAACATCTAACCGGACACGATGCTGCTACTGCAGCACCTAGCTAGCCAAAGTGAGAACGAGGGCAAACACTAAAAACGGGAAACGATGAACAAAAGGTAGTCTGTTAGCCTGAATCGGGATGAACAGATTGAAAAGCAGTGGACAAACACACGTGTTCGTCAGATTCCCTGTTTGATATGTGCCTGTTGTTGTTGTTGTTGTGGAGGGTTTGCGTGCAACGGAGAGGTAAGAGATAAAAAAACACCAAGACGGAGAGGAAATAGCTTGTATTTGGTACAAATAATTGCATGCGCATCCCTTTTTTGTCCTTAAGTGTATTCAGTCCCCGGACAAAATACGGATGAATTAGTTACTGTGCTTTTTAGCCTTCATTCCGTGATGACTTATCTTCCTCCCATCAGGGCTGTCCAAAGTGATGAGGGTCTCGGACCATCAACCCTGGGTTGGAATTTAGTGGAACTGACAAAAACGATTGTGTTTACCAAGACTACTTTGACAAAATGGTTTGTACGAATTTATCCAAACCCACACACAGGTCAGTCGCATACCCAGATGGAGCGTAATGTGCTCGGAGTCCGGGTTGAGTTTATCACCCACTCTGTGGGGTAGGGCCGTATCACGTGTTTTTGGTGGCAGTCACATTACCCTCACGCCCGTCTATCACTAATGACATCAAATGCAACGTTTATAACGGCAGAATTGTGTCATTGCGTCACACGGGTCGCTTTTCATGCGCACTTGGAAATTAGCCATTGCCGTGTGCTCCAAATGAAAAGGATTTGGGAGCTATAGTCCGTGGGAATCTAGAAGGTTACATACACAGGGAGTCATTGAAGGTCATAAAACAAGTTGGTTTATCCAAATATGTTCTTGTCTCGTTCGAAACAGACCTATTACCCAGTTTGCTATCCGTATACATTTGACCACACTCTGAGTATGCTATTAAAGCTTGGAATCAATGACTGATATGCGAGGAAAAGGCAACGGAACGTCCCGAGAGGACAACAATCAAAATGGTCAAAGGGTTACAACCTAAAACCTACGGTGAAAGGCTGCGCATACTCGGACTGTATTCGTCTGATTAACTTCGAATACGGGAAGACACGATCCTCTTATATCCACTACTTCATCAACCTAACCACCCATGTATTACCCCACTAACACTATCCAGAAATACACACCTCCGGGGCTATCCATTTAAGCTTTTGCTCCAAAATTGTCGAGGTTAGACTGCAAGCAACTCTTGCAGCCTCAGTATTTGTAATACCTCGAACTACTCTCTTATGCCTCAAGTTGCTCGATTCATTTGAGTCACGACTCTATAAAGCATTAAAACAACTAACTCTGTTCAGAACCTGTAAGTGAACATAACAATTTGCTATGTAGAGAGGTCGAAACACCTCGGCCGCATTAACTAGGTGGTTTTTATTCCACCAGGATTTGAAATAATTGAGCTGTTAATAGTCTTAATTATTCCATTATTATTCCATTATTATTATTCCATTCAACCAGGCCGGTTGGTGCTCACGGACTCGTTCAGACAAACGTCTGCTCGTGCAGCCAAATGAACCTTGTCCCAAAGGAACTGGTAAATAAGTACACAGATAAAGAGCCGGAAGAAACTGGCAAATGAGCTTGTTCGGTACTCTGTGTTTACTTTCCTTATTGTTCAGAGAATTCAATTCTAACCGTGAATGTTTTATCCCCGGAACAACATCGGTTACGTCTGAACGTTGATCATGTACTACTAACCTGGTCCGAGAAGAGCGGACAGTAGAAATTGATCAAGTTTTGGCAAGGAACGTAGTATTTCTTAACTTTTCCAAATCATTTGATCGTGTGAAACATAAAATACTGCGTGGGTCTTTGCATATATGGAATTTCTGGATCTGTACTGAGTTGAATAGAACAATGTCATCGATAACGCATCCTGACAGTTCTGTTATCTCCGTAACAATCTGGGCTTATCAATATAACCCAGGGATGTTTTATAAGGATACACGCTAAGTGACCATTTTTTCTACTTTCCTCTAACTTTCTGGGGTTGCAAGTGTCGATGCATGTAACGGGTGACAATATCGGGAATACAGTGAAAAAGCCAGAGGGTTCTTTGGCACTTCGGAACATAATTATCCGTGATCGACACACAAGATGACATCGAATTCAATGCATCAAAATGCGTGGCCCTGTCCGTTCACCACAAAACTCGATTTCCATCCTTCTCTTGAACATCAGTGTGCCTCGAAGTATCTTGGTGTTATCGTTCAAGACCTAAACTGTTCCATTAATTGCTTCCAGACTTTACCGGCATTTGCAAGATATGTCGGTTTGCTAGGGCAAGTCTTTACCAAATTCGAACCTATGCTGTCCCCAAGTTTGTTATCAGCCCACGTTCGTACCCACATAGAGTACGTCTTTCAAGAGTGAAGTCTATAGCTGAAAAGTTTAGGAACGTTCGGATGATCTGTGTGGAAAGTCGATAACCATTGGATTCCATTTGACCCATGATCATCGAATTCGAGGAGGCTCTATTTTTAGTGCAGCAAATGATACTGTCGATTCCTGACCAACTGGACGCTCAACAGTCACCTTGGGGAGTATCTATGCAAATAAGTGTTCTGAGAATGGTCACTGATATTCCTTAGATTGAGCAGTATTTGGATTTTTCCAATATACTTGATGCTTACACGCAAAGACTGAATGAAACACAGTCCAGTCTTAACTTTTGATATCCAAAGCAGTACAATGAGGAGTGAAACGTTATGCGATTCGTCGTCTCTCTCTCCTTGATTGGTCAATCCAATCATTTATGCAAAACCCCCAATGTGATAAGAAAGACAACTGCAGGTAAGTGTTTCCCACAATGAAACTTTGATCTTGACTACTATCACTACTGTAGTTAGGTGCTAGTCACATTGTTGAGTAGTGGGTTTGTGTGGTTTCTAATGGTACCTGGAAAATGGCCAAAAACATCCCAGGACCGATCAATGGGCTGACTAATGTAAAATGAAAAATGCGAACAGGTTGTTAAGCTGTTGAATCAATAATAGTCTTTCTTGAGCTCAAGGATGAACTGTTACAGGTTACATGGCTCATTCTGTCTAACCTCGATTTATTAGGCATTACCAACGTTGTTTATCTAATGAAAATTTCGGCGTTACTGGTCGTCAGAGTTTGCCGAGGTAAATGTTCTCAATGACAAGCCGACCACCCACTAGTCGAACTCACGGTGCACATCCCAAACTAATTACTAATCAACGTGCATTGTACAGTCTATAGAAGACAACTACGTTGACGATAAAAAGCAATAGGCAGTTTAGTTATTTGCTCTGCAAGTGTTGTCCGAAACGTCTTTTTGAGGCTTACACTGATGGGATTCAGTTTGTGCAAATGGATCAAACAGGAAAACCGGATTTCCAGTCCCATCTTCAAACAAAAATCAATAATATGCAAAGATGTTCAAAATAGAACAGCAACATGTTCCGTTTCGCATCGGTTCGCGGAGAATAGCATGCAAATCTCGAATAGGGGAAACAGATACTGCCAAATTGCACTCACTTCTTGCAACTGAATTTCGTGCTTTGTCAAACGTTTCAGTGCACCACTGCTGAGAACCTGTAAAATGAACAAAAAATAAATATAAATAAATATATATCGACAAGAAGAACACGTGGATGAAAATTTCGTTTACAAATCGTTTACAATCGAACAAAATCAGCAGCCATTGGGGGGGGACAGTCATACAACAAAGGCATGTGAGGAAGAGTTTGCCGCACGCCTGGTTTTATACACGTTCGCCTAGTGATAGGCAATAACTGTGCCCCTGGGAACTGAAACGACTATGACTACGACTGATTCTTCCTGTGAACCTCTGCCCCGAAATAAAAAAGAACATTGATTCGTTCGACATTTGATAGGAAAGTGAATGGGTACTAGACAGAATAGAACAGAACGACGCCTTCGTCTCAGTCGCTTCTGTTGTCCCAATTTGGAGTTCGTGACGGTAGATAGTTTCTTTTTTGTTTGTTTGAACAATCAGCATTATCGATAACGTAATAGTGCATTGGGATTAATGACGAAAGAGGAGGAAAACAATAATTAGTCAAGGATAATTTGTATTCGAGAATCAATTGGTCGTTACCGGAAATTGATTGATGCAAAAATTGGCAACACATTACCCATTTGATATACAGGGGGCTTCTCTGTATTTGCAATCTATCAGACGGAAGGATTATATCATAATAGAAGACCATCATCATGCAATCCAACTGCACTGACCACGTCATCCATCTATCCGTTCCACTCAAATGAACAAGTGACTTGAAGTGATAATCATATTTATTTATTTTATGAGTAGTTCCACATCTGGTCATGTGACGCAATAATCCATGGCATATCGGGATAGACGTGAGTTGAATCTTATGCGTCCATTGTTCCCGCCTCGACTGCCCTCCCACTGAATGAGCCATCGCAAATGTGAGTTTGACATGTGTAGCATGTAAAGTGTTAGAGAAATTAGTGGCGAAGCACATTATCAGTCGCCTAGAGGCGCAACATTGCATTTCTTCTCGACAACATGGCTTCCGACGGGGCCGTTCCTGTCTATCCAATCTCCTGTTGGCACGTGAGCATTGGGCGGAGTCTAAAGCTGAAGGTTATCCTACGGATGTTGTGTTCGTGGATTTCAGCAAAGCGTTTGATACGGTGTCTCACCAGAAGTTACTGATGAAATTATGCTCGTTTGGCATCCAGGGCCCGCTGCTCTCATGGATAGATGA